TAAGGCTGCGGGCCATGATATTAAGTCGCTATTTCCAGAATTCAAGTATCTCTTTAGCAGGGTCATCTTTCACCTGGAAAGGAGTCGGCAGCTGTGCCTTCCCTGGTGCCTTTTGAAAATGAAGAGGCAAGGCACCAATTTACAAAGGAGAGGCTTGAAAGTTCAGAGAATACATTTTAAAAAAATTTAAAAAGGTAAAAGTCACAGGGAGTCACAGTGAGACAGAGAGAGACACACAAAAAAGCAAGAAAGAAAACAGAACTCTCTCTTCTCATTAGAAATGCGATAAGGGCGATAAGGGAAAATTCTGAGCTGAAAATATTCTTTTTTGGTCAAGAAAACCGATTTGTGTTTCTTTTTTTTTGAGAGGTTTTTTTCTGTAGTGCGAGTGCACTTGCCAGAAATACAGAGAGAAACAGAGAAACAGAAAGTGAGAATTCCCCCTCCAGGGAGGATGGCCAAGCCACAATCCTTTTTTCTTCTCATGGGATCCTGGGCACGCATACACACGCGCCACGCAGTTTAAGCCACTGGGCCCAGGACTCGAACCGCAGTTGACTACATGCGAGTCCTACGACATAGCCATTACGTCAATGCTGTTCCTGGAAACCAGTATTTCACAGGTGAAGTACGGTATCCGTATCAGCCTAAGTCAGACTTCGCTGGTGCCTTTCGACAATGAAGTGAGGAAGGGCACCAATTTATAGAGAGGCTTGATAGTTCAGAGAATCCTTTACATAAAAAAATTAAAAGTCACAGGCAGTCACAGTGAGAGAGAGAGAGACACACAGATATAGTGTGAGAGAACAGAGTTATCTCTACTTACTAGAAATGTGCTTAGAGGAGAAATTTCAGCTGAAAATATTTTCTTTTGGTCAAGGAAACTGATTTGTGTTTCTTTTTGTTTTGTTTTTGAGAGGGTTTTTTTTTTTTTTTTCTGCAGCGTGAGTGCATTCGCCAGAAATAGAGAGAAACATAAAGCAAGTATTGACCCTCCAGGGAAGATAGCCAAGTCGGAATCCCTTCTGCTCCGTTCTCCTCACAGGATCCTGGACAGGAACGCACACCACCAGGCGGAGCTTAAGCCATTGAGCCCAGGGCTCTAACCGTGGTCGACTCCACGGGAGTTCAGAAACAGCTATCATGGGGACCAGGAGCGTGTGCATGCCTGCCCAAGATCCCGAGAGGAGAATGAAGAAGGGATTGTGGCGTGGCCATCCCCCCCTGCGGGGGTGATTTCTCGCTTTCTATCTCTATGTCTCTGTCTGGCGAGCGCACGCGCCCTATAGCGAAAACCTCTCCAAAAAAAGAAACAGTCATTATGCCAATGCTGTCCCTGCAGCCAATGTTTCACAGCTGAAGTACCTCATCCACATCAGCGTAGGCCTGACTTCAGTGGTGCCTTTCAAAAATGAAGTGAGGAAAGGCACCAATTAATAGAGGAGAGTCTTGAAAGTTCAGAGAATACTTTACATAAATAAAGAGATTTAAAAAAAAAAAAAAGTCACAGAGAATCTCAGCAAGACAGAGACAGATGGACAGATATAGCGAGAAAGAGACACACTGCTTAGAGGGAAAATTCTCACCTGAAAATATTCTTTTTTTTTTTTTGTCTAAAAAACAATTTGTGTTTATTTTTTTTTTTAGATTTTTATTTTTTTTTCTATATGGCAAGTGTGTTCACCAGAAATACAGAGAAACAAACAAAGAGAAAGCGAGAAATCACCCTCTGGGGAGGATGGCTAAGCCACAATCCCTTCTCTGTTGTCTTCACAATATCCTGGAAACAAATGCACACGTGCCAGGCAGAGTTTAAGCCACTGGGCCCAGACTCGAACCACGGTCGACTACATGGGATTCCAGCAACACAGCCATTATGTCAATGCTGCCCCTGAAACCAATATTTCACAGCTGAAGTACCTTACCATGACAGCACAGGCCTGACTTCGGTGGTGCCTTTCAAAAATGAAGTGAGAGACCAGCAGTTAGCATAATGGCTATGTCCCTGGACTCCCACGTAGTCGACCGCGTTTTAAGTCCCGGACTCGGTGGCTTAAACTCACACCGGGCACGTGTGCGTGCGTGCCCAAGATCCGGAGAGGGGAATGGAGGAAAAGGGATTGCGGCGTGGCCATCCCCACTGGGGAGTGATTTCTCGCTTTCTGTCTCTCAGTCTCTGTCTTTCTGGCGAGCGCACGCGCCCTACAGCAAAAACCTCTCCAAAAAAATTTAAAAAGTGAGAAAGGGCACCAATAAACAGAGAGGCTTGAGAGTTTAGAGAATACTTTATGTAAAAAAAGAAAATTAATAAAAATTAAAGTCACAGGAAGTCACAGTGAGACAGAGACAGAAATAGTGAGAAAGAGATACAAAGCTATCTCTACCTACTAGAAATGTGCTTGGAGGGAAAATTCTCACCTGAAAATACTCTTTTTTGGTCAAGGAAACCAATCTGTTTCTTTTTTTTTTTTTTTTTTTTGAGAGGTTGTTTTCTATAGGGTGAGTGCGTTCACCAGAAATACTGAGAGAAATAGAAAGCAAGACATCACTTTCTGAGGACGGCCAAGGTGCAATCCCTTCTCCTTCATTCTCCTCACGGGATCCTGGAAATGGACGCACATGTTCCAGGTGGAGTTTAAGTCACTGGTCCCGGGACTCGAACCGTGGTTGACAACATGGGAGTCCAGCAACATAGCCATTCCACAAGTGCTGCTCCCAGAAACCAATATTTCAGCATAGGCCTGGCTTCACTGGTGCCTTTCGGAAACTAAGTGAGGAAAGGCACCAATTAAGATATTAGAGGAGAGGCTTGAGAGTTCAAAAAGAAAATTAAACGTCACAGGGAGTCACAACAAGAGAGAGACAGACAGACAGAAATAGAGATAAAGAGACAAAGAGCTATCTCACCCACTAGAAATGCGCTCAGAGAGAAAATTCTCAGTAGAAAATATCTTTTGTTCAAGGGAACCAATTTTCCCTTTTTTTTTTGGGGGGGGGGCGTGTGCGTTCGCCAAAAAGACAGAAGCAAACAGAAAGCGAGAAATCACCCCCCAGGGAGGATGGCCAAGCCACAATCCCTTCTCCTCACGGTATCCTGGACACAGACGCACACTTTTGAGGTACATCTGAAGGTACCCACAGGGAGACTGCAAAGCTGAGGTATATACTACCAAATCACACCCTAACTGCCCCACTGACATGCAGTGTCCCTAAGAAGCAAATCTACGCACAGAGAAGGTACATCCGTGGTCGCTCAGTGCAGGGGGTAATGGAAGATGGTGGGCTGATGGCTACAGGATACCAACTTTCTTTTAGAGTGTAAAATGTCCTAAAATTGACTGCAATGAGTTTTACAACTCTGTGAATATGCTAAAAACCACTGAATGGTAAACTGTACACTGGTGAATTGTGTGGCATGTAAATTACCTCAATAAAATCGTCACCCAAAGGCAAAAGCATGAGAGCACTACGTATGGTTAGATCTCTCCCAGGAAGCCCACGTTTCAGCCAGTACCGCTATGACCAAAGCAGAACAGCACAGACTGTAGACTTTGTTCCTTCTGTCCGAAAGTTTCTGCCATATTTTTAAGACAGAAGGCAATGACAAGCAGCAGGATGCTGGGCTAGCAGCGGGTATGTGTGGGGAGTAAAGTGGCTGGAATGAAGGGGTGCGGATGAGTGACCATCACAAGAATGAAGGACGGATTGTGGCATGGCCCGCACCCCTAGAGGGCGACTGCTCACTTTTCCTCTCTACAGTGTGTGCACACGCTATTAAAAGACAAAAAAAAGCAGGGTGGAGAGGCATGTTTATTACACCTTCAGTGTGACTCCTCTAAGTACCTAGCTTTGATCTGGAATAAACTTAACCGATTTTATGTTTATCACCTCCAGGTGTATGAGAGTCGGCATCCCAACAGGGTCTTGACTAATCTCATCCCAGCCTTCAGCCAGCTCCGGTTGTGAGCATGTGTGTGCCCGATGCACTCAAGATGTCTCCAGACATGAACCCCGACCCTCCCTACGTAGGTCAGTCTTGCAGTGTTTCACTGCTGTGCCGTCAGCTCCCGTTCCATCTATGTTTAAACCAATCAGAACACATCTCACCAGACCATATCACATGGGTACAACTTTGGCTCACCCTTGTTTTCCAGAAACTTCCAGAATCCCTTCATGGGCTCAGAGGCCCCATGTGATCTGGCTTTTGCTAACGTCTATCCTCCAGTGCTTTAGGGCCCTACTCAGATGTTGTGTTCTGGACTGCCCTTTCTGCCCCAAGGTCTCTAGTCAATAAACATTTGTTAAATAGATAAGATAAATGTCATTTTAAATTTCCTGGATTTAACATGGCTGAAGTATGCTAAGGTCAGTTACAGACAGGGCTTCTTAACTACGAATTCATGGGTAGACCTAAGTTGCCAATGATTTCAGCTGCTTTTGCAAATCTGAGTATGTGGGAATGTGCATTCTTCTGGAGAAAGTAGTTCAAAAACATCCATGACCTAAGACAAGGTTAAGGTTCTAGTTAAGGGAGGTAAGGCTCGGAGAAAAAAGGACACAGAGGTAAGTGAGGCACTGAAAGAGCCGCAGTGCGCTAGGAAGGTGACTCCGAAAGGTAACATGTTCCCAGTGTCTCACCCTCGATGTAAGTCCTAGGCACTGAGGACACCAGGGAGTCCGACACCAAAAATAAAAACCAGCCGGTTAACGGCCCCTTCTCAGTCCCTGTGGGTCCCACTACACATGGGTGAGCCACCACACACGCCTCCTACAGTGGCAGCTCATGCTGACGGTCACGCTCTCCACGGGCTTTTGTAAACTACACAGGCCCGCCCTCCAGCTCTCTGCTCCCTCAGGGGTGTGTTGGCAGTGTGTCGGGGAGGGGGTTGAGACGCACTGGTCTAAGTAATGTACTCAATCTATTTAAAATCCATCATGTTTTAGCAAATTAAACACTGTGAAAAGAGCATGGAATGTCCAAGTGGCAGTTTAGCTACCCAAACCAATTAAAACGGGTTGGTGGCATATTAAATTTTAATATATTTTATAAAAATGTCCCAGCTCATGAATTAATATGCATGTACATGTTTACATAAACAAATACACACCATTCATTCCCTCATCCCAAGCTCGGCCTTCTCCAAGAGCGGGCTCCTGGGCTCCCAGATGACGACGTTCCGCTGACGCTGCTGTTTCCAGGAGCCTGTCCGTCCTGACAGGAGGCTGTCGGATGGGCTGCGCTCCGCGAGAGCCAGGACCATGGCAGACCCACTGTCTTGAAGGCTGCCACACGACAAGCGGCTTCTGCTCTTTCCCGCCTGCTCAGTGCAGATGCCACTGCTGGGGCGGCCCAGGTTCACATATCCAGGTGCTTGTAGAGTCTCCGACTTTTCTCTTTCTTATTTCTGTTGCCGTGTTTTTTCCAGGGCTTCCCAGCCACGCTCTCAGAGCTCACAGCAGCGGCAGTCACCACGCCACTACCAGGCTTGTAACCCATCACAGCCTGGACTCCTTTGGTCAGAGCTCGCACATTCTCCTAGGAAACGAGGGAAAACACTGCTTACAGACCACTTCACTGGTCTCTCCCTACCCCTTACGTAAGTTTCCCAGCATTCTGTCTTCAGTTCATCTCTCCTTTCTTTATTCTTCTTGTCAATTTTATTCAGTCCCTAGATTCTTTTTCTTTGAGAGATTTTTGCTACAGGGCATGTGCGCTTTTAGACCCTAGACTGTTTCTTTGAGACAGATTTTTGCTATATGGCAGGGGAGCTCACAGGAGAGAGAAATCATCCCCCAGAGGGTATGGTCACACCACAGTCCCTTCTTCAGTGTCCTCTTGGGATTTTGGACACAGACACGAACATGGACACACACACACACACACCTGGCCTGAGTTTTAGGCCACCAGGTCCTTGACTCAAACTGCAGTCAACTACATGGGAGTCCAGCAACATAACCATTAAGTCATCTGCTTGTCCCATGTCCCACAGATTCTAGGTCAGCCCCATGGTCTCGTGTTGAGAGAACCAAAGCCTACATTGCTGGCTGTGTAGTTTGAATCCTGGCCCTGGTGTCTGGAAAAACACATTGGGAGCATGATGTGCCTCAAATCCCAACAGGATGGGGAAGGGACCCTGGCAATGACCATGCCCTACTGGGGGGCTGCTTCCTACTTCTCTCTGACAAGCACATGTACCCTCTTGCTTATAAACATACGAAAAAGTCCTATAGCTTCGAATGCCATTTGTAACTGTCTATAACCAGACTCATAACATCAACTGTTTTTTGAGGAAGTCTCGCAGGACTTCAAATGTTAGAACTAGAGGCACCAATGACCCAGCAATCCCGCTCCTAGGTAGATACCCAAGAAAACTGAAAACCTATACCATGCAAATACTTGTCTAAAAATGTTCCCAGCAGCATTATTTATACAGCCAAAAAGTGGAACCATCTCACATGTCTATCAACTGGTAAACAGACTAATGAAATGTGATGTGTCTATACAATGAAATATTCCAAAGTAGGCAAATCTACATATAGAGAAAGGAGACTAATGGTTGGCAAGGGCTGGGGAAATAGAGTGAATGCTAACGAGTACAGGGCTTATTTTAGGGGAGATAATGTTCTGTAATAAAACTGTGATAGATGTACAACATTGTGAATATACTGTATACAACAGAGTCCACACTTTGAAAGGGTGTGTGGGTTTAAATTCTGTTTATGGTAATTTACACTGAAAATGTGTTCATGGTATATGAATGCTATCTCAGAGAAACTATTATATGTATTTTTTAAAAAGCATCGAATCATAAGTTAAAAACATTAAAACTTACTTGATGAAAAAACATTTTATCAACTACATTTTCAATCTGCTTTGCTTTTTTATTTCCGCCTGGCTGTGTTCTTATTCTATCCCCATCCGTTCTCTCCAGGAGTCGTTGGTGTTGGTGCTGAAAGGTCACGGGATCTCTTCCAGGAGGGGGATGACAGTACAGCAGTTTCCCCTGTGAAGACATGAGTGATGACCATTGCAAGTGCCATCTGTGTTATCACAGAAGGAAAGGGACTCAGAGACGAGTCTAGCCAGTTACATGCGGATGGAGCTTTCTGCTCTTTGATTCAGCTAGCCGAGCTCAGTCTGCTGGCACTGAAGAGCACTAACTTAGCCACTAACAACGATGATTAAAGTAGCCCCGCAGACTGGAATGAAATCTTTCCTACCTTGTTTGCATGTCTGCCAAAGCAATCCGCAGTACACTTAAATAATTAAAACTTTTTTTATTAAATGTTTTTAGAAGAGTTATTTATTCTTATTTATTATTATTTAATTTGATGAGAGAAAGAGAGAGACAAAGTGAAAAAGCAAGCCATGAGGTCTGGGACTCAAACTGTGGTCAGTCACATGGGAGTCCAGCACCTTAACCACCACGCCACCTGCTGGCCCCTATGCGATTATACTTATGGTACATATTTTCCAGAACAAAACCAGGATATGTTCTGACAGTTACAACTATGCTAATGGGAATACTGGCCTAGAATACGAAATCAGGATAGCTCCTAGATTCCTGTACAAGGAGTTGTAGCTGCTCACTGGGTGCAAATCTGCCTCTTTGCACCATTGAATGTGCTAAAAGAAGTGACTGCCTTTAACTTTGCCTCCTCCACAGTTAAATAAATGGTAAATGAATAAAGGATATATTCACACACAGTAATCAGTACTTTCTTTCTGAACTGAAGGCACACAACATGGCTGCCCACTTCTACTTCTCTGCTCCAAGTGTTCCACTGACGAGGATCTGAGAAGAGGAAGGAATACTGCCAAATCCTCATGACTAGTTATCAGCATGGTCCTGTCGTACTTTGCCTGTGTGTGTGTATACAGAGAATGTTCATTTGCATCCCATAATAATCTCTCCCTGGGGCCTTAGTGGCTAAGGGAGCCAGATCCCACAGGGCTAACCACAAGGTTCAAATTCTATCAAAAGACAGAAAGACCAAACGTTGTGTTCTTACTTGTAATACAAGAATAAGCCACAGGCTTGTTATGTATTTTTAATGACGACACATGGAAAACCCTGAGAATCTTTCCTAGGAGAGAGCTCTGCTTTAGTGCGAGCTATACTATTACTAGCTAAGTACAGGAGATGGGTAGGTAAACGGCGACTGTACAAGGAAGACTGGCAGAAGCTGCAATAGGAACAAGCAAAGGGCTGTAAGTGATGGAAAATCAGAAGCAGAAACTGATCAGTCCACTGATAACAGGTGTTCAGAGACCTTTCCTTTCATAATACCTATCAGTCACTTCCTAAGTTACATGATGTTAACCACCTAGGATTAAGGTAGTTATAACCTCAATGAAAAAATGCTCTTCTGTAACACAGCAGGCTCCCAGAACGAAGTGCACAGGACGTGGAGAGAAGACTGGCGTATCTGAGAGCCGGAAGCAGCAGAGCTCACTTACGCTGACGTAATCCTTCAGGATGTAGCGAGCAGATCGAGGCTGGTCTGGCTGTCCATGCGCTGTCATGAATCCTCGCATACCTGTGAAGACAATGAATTTCTGCAAAACCTCAGAGGACAAAATTTCACAACAAAGACAAGTGAGATGATCGATATTCGGTCCTTTTCATTATTACACTATAAATTCTTATTCCTTTAATAAATTACCATCGGGCTGCTTTGGGGCCTTAGTGGCTGAGGGAGCCAGATCCTACACAGCTAACCACACAGTTCAAACTCCAGTTTTGGCAACTTGGAAAACATACGAGGTATGTGTGTGTGCTTGCCCAAAATCCCAAAAGGAAAAACTGAGAAGAGATTGCAGTATGACCGTCCTCCAAAGAGGGTGCTTGAGTACCACCGTCCCTCTCTCCAATGAGTACACATGCTCTCTAACAAATTTAAAACTAAATGTGATAATAATAATCCTGAACAACTAGACTATATACCTGGGCTATAGACTATATACTTATATACTTATATAAATGTGATAATCCAGAACTAGAATGTATACCAGACTATATACTAATATAACTAATATACTAATATAATCACCTCCTAGCACATTTTCTTTCCAGTCATTTCTTTCATTCCTTAATTTTAAACACGTATTCATGCAGACTACCTGTAGACTGCTATGCTGTCCGTACTACTACCAAAACAAAGAGCGTGAGTTTTCTTATTTAATGGTACGCCGTTAATACTAACCCAACTAGACAGGAGGAGCAGAGCACAGGGGTTAAGAACAAAGGGCACTGGCAGACAAACGGGTTCAAAACTCAGCTCCTCCCATACTGTGTGTTGGCTCTTGTCTAGAAAAAACAGGACACTAATTCACATCATACACAAAATAAATTTAAGCAAATTAAAAATCTAAATATTGAGGCCAGCAGATGGCTGTTGGATTCTTGCATGGCTGACCACGGTTTTAGCCCTGGACCTGGCAACTTGAGAAACACACCAAGCAAGGGTGTGTGTGTGCCCCAAATTCCAAGAATAGAAAGGAGAAGGGACTGCAGTATGGCCATCCCCCAGGAGTGATTTCTCACTTCTCCTCTCTCTAGTGAACACACGTGTCCTACAGCCAAAAAAAAAAAAAGTAAAGAAAAGAAAAGGCCAACATCTGTAGGGCTAAAATAAACCATAAATAAACACAGGGAAAAACACGTGAGTACTAAGAACTCCTATAATCATTAAGACAAAAGCAAACAATGCCTAGAGAAAGGGGACTTCCAAAAGGAATATAAATAGCCAACAAGCACACTAAAAGATAACTTACATATTTAAAGAACTACAAAGTAAAACTGGAGTCATCTGGCAGCATCTTTTAAAATTCACTGCAGGGACCCACAGAGAGCTGGTTCTGTTTTTACTCACTGGCCTCTTCCTTACGCTGATTTCATCAGGCAGCATTAGATGGAAACTCTTCAAAGACACACATTATCTTCGTGTTTTTCTTCCCTGCTAGCAGGGACACAGAGGGTCCAACCGGAGGCTAGAGGGGACAGCTGGGGCGTGTGGAAACAGCCAGGTGCAGACCAGCTGAGCAGCAAGTGAGCCTGTAACTACTTAGTTTTATGTGGAAGTGAGATCAAGTGAAGTGTGGTGGAGGCCCACCTTCCCTCACCTTTCAGCGCAGTTTATGGGAGAGGTCTCATCTGGGCTCTGCCACTTCGCAGACACATCACCCTGGACCAATCATCTCTTGCTGATTTCATTTATCTTAAAAGGGGTCTAGAGGATGATGTGATTTTGAAAAAGTTTTGGGCCAGCAGGTGGCATGGAGGTTAATGCAGCTGGATACCACCCACATGGCTGAGTCCACGGCTCAAGTCCCAGACCCGGAGGCTTGAAAAGTCACACCAGGCACGCACGCACGCATGTGCACCCACAATCCTGACAGGAGAATGGAGGAGAATGTGATGTAGCCATCCTCCCTGGGGTTGTGTGTGGGGAGGCGGGGGGTGAGTTGTCACTTTCCCTCTCTCTGTCTCTCTGGTGAGTGCAAACACACAACAGAAACTTAAAATAAAAAGGCTCTTTCATTCTAGTAGTCTTAGCAGAAGTGGTTAGTGGTTATCTTCTTTCGAGTCTCTAATTAAGGTCTGATTTAAGCACAGTTTCTATGAAATCATCTTTCTCTGCCAGGAAAGACTCAACGCAGCCAGTGGGAATCTCTTAAAAGACAAGCCCCTGGGACCAGCTGTTAGCGTAATGGCTATGTCGCTGTACTCCCATGTATCCGACCACGGTTTTTGT